GAGGAATGGAGGGAAGGGTGGCCAGGGGCACAAGTTAGTCCTGGGGTCTGGGCTCCGAGTTCCCATCCCATCTCCAAAGTGATGACTGGGCCTGGGCCAGGTGCTTCACCCTTTGGGGCTGTTTCTTCCTCTTTCAAAGGAAAAAACACCTGGCTGGCAGGACTAGTGGGAAATTGAAGTGGCTGGATGTCTGGGTGGCCCCGGCTATGTGGTCCTCACTCCTCACAGCACGGGGTCTCCCTGGGCACAGAGGGAGGCTGCTGCCTCCATGTGCAGTCATCCCCGTGCACAGAGCAGCCAGGGGCCCGAGTGGAGGGAACGCTGGCCCTGTGCCCTCACTCAGAGCCTGCTGGGAGTTCCTGTGTGGGCACAGCAGGGGCTGCCCTCCAGGGGGCTGGGCTGGGGGAAGTCAGCATGTGGTCAGGATTCAAGAGCCAGAGCGCCACTGCAGGGGAAGTGGCTTTCCTGGGGACCCTGGGAGGGGGGTCTGCACTGAGGGAAGGCCAGGGCTGAGCACTTTTCAAACCAACAGGTGCAGGAGGGCCTGAGGGGGCCTCTCTTGAGGAAAGGCAAAGGGGGCAGCTGTATGGCTGGGGAGGAGGGCTGTGGCTGATGAGGAAAGACTGAGTTGCTTCTATAACAGAGGGGATATCAGGGTTCCCCCTCAGCCCTCCGCAGTATGGCCAAAAGAAAATAGGGACCCCAGGCCTCCTGCAGCACCCCCTAAGTGAAGTTGCTGGATCTTCAGAGCCCCTGTCTGCCACAGATGTCACCTAGGTGTGGTATCAGGCTGTGGGCTGGTGTGTCTGATCCAGCTCCGGCCTGCAGGGGGACAGCTAGGACCCAATTTAGGAAACCTTAGGAAGACTCAGGTCAGACAGCAGCCGCAGGAAGATGTGGGGGCCACCGGGGTGTGGGCCTCTGCCTCCTCTCTGGGGTGATGCCACACATGTGTGCTTTGTCATTGACAATTCTGCATGAAGGATGTGACACAGAGGGCACAGTCCACATTGGGACTCAACCCATTTTGCAGACAGAAATTGAGGCCCAGAGAGGAGGGGTAGCTGTGGGTCCCAAGAGCAATCAATCACACCCCTGTGACTAGAACTGGTACCTGCGTTAGGTCCTGCATGGTCCTTACAGCTACGTCTTCAGAGAGGCACTGGGCTGGGGTCAGAAGACCTGGCTTGGGGCCCAGTTAGACCCTGGACGAAGTGTGAGAGAGGACACTATGAGGCCGCTTGCGACTCAAGGAGGTTGAGACCATTTTTGGGGATTGGTCAAGTTCAGGGTGAGGGAGTCAGGGACAGAGGCCAGAAAGGAGGTGTTGAGGGGACATTGCAGTTGCAGGGCACCTCTGGAGCAGGAAGGCTCTGCACAGATGTCCTGGGGCCGGGGGTGGTGCTGTGGTGAGTGAGATGCCAGAGACACTTGAGATGTCCACATCACCACCTTGGATCAGAAAGGGCAGTGTCACCACACTTGCTGCTTTCAACTCTGCTGGACTGTGGAGCTGGAACTCTCAGATTCAGTCACAAGTGGCAGCTGAGGGACAGCAATATGGTGAGGTGAGGTTGCCACTGTGAGAACACCTTAGCAAGCACTGAGGGAGCCTAGATAGTGTGGCCACCTGCCGCCCTGGGGCCTCACGGATCTAAGCATTCCGATCAGGCACAACAGCAACACAGGCAGGCCTCTGCTGCACTGTCACCCTAAAGGGCCACTGTCACAGTGCCACCTGTGGTTGTGTGGTGTGTGACTACATGTCAGCAAAGCATTGGTCCACTCTTTTCTACCTGACCTTTCTAGGGCATGCTAAGGAAGGGCATTTGTTCATACCTGGGTCGTCTCTGCCCGGGGTTGGGTAGGGAAGGAGGTGTCCATGCAGCAAGGGCCTGGACCACCTATCCAGGAGGGCAAATGTGAGATAGGGTGACTGAGGGGCAGACAGAAGAGCCGGGGCATGGCGGGGAGCCCCGGGGCAGGGGGAGAGGGCAGTGGCTGGGGAGAATTATTGGTGGGAGGGACCATGTGGAACAGAGCTGGAGGCAGACAGAGCAGAGAGGGGGCAAGCAGGGAGGCTGGAGGACAAAGCGGGGAGATATGCACTCAGGAAAGGGGACCAGGTGTGGGGACCAGGTGGGACAGGGACACAGAGCAAGCCTGAGGATCATGAGGAAAAAGTGTTTGCTCTCCACACACATTTTTCATCTGGAGAAGATGTTCTAGAATTTACTCTTCATGAATATAAGAAGAGTATTCGCTGGATATATGGAAGAAGCATTATCATCATAAAACTAACTCAGATTTCTTGAATATGTCCAAGAACTATATATTACATATCTATCCCTTTCCCCCTAACAGAGAGAGGAGAATCCCATAGAACAGAGGTCATTTTTCATCCCATCTGACTTGGACCATTTTACACAGACAGAATTAAGCAACAATGCAACCTGTCAAATGTGCCTGGAGTCAGGCAGCTTCTGGGAAGAGGCGATCGTGAGTGGGACCAGGGTCCTCCTAAATGAGGGAACCATTGCCTACAAGAAGAACCACTGCAAAGGATTTCTTCCCGTCCCTGACCTGAGTCACCATGTAGGGCCACATGAGAATGACCAAGGATTTGTGCCTCAGTTTATTATGAAGAAGGAGGAGGAGGATGAGGAGGGTGAGGATGAGGAGGAGGAAGAGGAGGAGGAAAGGGAGGAGGAGGAGGAGGAGAAAAAGAAGAAGAAGAAGAAGAAGAAGAAGAAGAAGAAGAAGAAGAAGAAGAAGAAGAAGAAGAAGAAAAAGGAGGAGGAGGAGGAGGAGGAGAAGAAGAAGAAGAAGAAAAAGGAGAAAACCAGTTGTGTCCATTGTTGGACCACACTGTGCAGTGGGGGAGGGGGGCACTGATCACCTGCAGCCTAGAAAGATGAACTTAGCCTGTGGAAATCACCTTCGTGGTGTTTTTGCTGCTGTGCTTCGTGGAAGTGACTGCAACATTCCCCCAGGCAGGAAGCAAAGCCTTATCTCTTTGCTAGGCTTCCTCCTGACCGCTCTTACCTCGGCCCAAGAGGACCTCTTGTCCACAAGCACACTGTCCAGAGAAGAGGAAGTAGCTCAACTGTGCAAGAGCAGTGTGGGGTGACTTGCATCAACAGGAACTTTCTCAAAAGCTCATTTTTCTAAGGCCTTTCACCCCTGACTGCCCTCCACCTTTATGGCATGGGAGCCCCTCCTGATTCAGCCCAAGGGAAATGTGACATGCAAATCTCTCCGGGAATTTGCTTCTCGGATCTTGATGAGGGGTTTAATGTCAACATCATTTAAATGACTCCTCAGGGTGGGGGGACAGAGAGAGGAGAATCCCATAGAACAGAGGTCACTTTTCATCCAGTGACCCATGATAGCCACCCCTGTCCCTCCTTGCCTCCTGGAGGACTCCTGGGGTCTGCTGGCTGCACACTGATGGCCTGTACCTCTAGAGCTTTATGGTGTGTGCAAGAGAATAGGGCCCGAAGGGCTCCTCTTAGAAAGGGGAAGTCCCCTGTCCTCTTTCTCCTCTCCCCAGGTACTGTGAAAGCCATGAAAAAGTGGACATAATGAAGGTATCCATTTGGTGACATCTGACGGTATCATCCTCCCAAACAGTCACATGTTCTCTAGCGCATTGTGGTCTTCTGTGCCAGCTCTCTGGTTGGGAATTCAAGCGACGCAGTGTCATGGCTATGCTTCCCCAAGGAGACGCAAGCCAGGTGAGCAGCCCTCTGAACCTGGCTATGGTCTAGGTCAGGGTAGGCAGGGCTTCAGGCTTCCAGGTGAGATCAAATCCCCTGGGAGGCTGGAATCTACAGCAGTAGACTATTACGTCCTTACCACAGGCTCTGCAGACCTAAGACACACTTCATAGATTTTATCCAAGAAATAATCAGCTAAAACACAAAACTGCCAGTTGCATTGGTCACAAATAGTGAATTCTAAGCAATTTCATAGGGGTTGACTAATAATAAACTGCATAGTAAAAGACAGCTGGTAAAGTATGTCTCCTTGGAGTCCGATTCAGAAGCTGGGTAGGAGGAAGGAAACATATTCTCCGAGCACCGAGCACCTATGTTCCCCCAGCATCCACCTGCTCCGTTCCTGAACACTTCCCGTGCACCAGGCGCAGGGAGAGATGCTGAGCACAGCGCTGGCTCACGCTCTGGAGAAAGCCCGCGGGCTGGGACCTGTGCTCTCGGGGTCAGGAACAGTTACTGAAGCAGCCCCAGCCCCCACCTCCCTAGCCCGGACGTGCAAGAACCTGGGCTACCCTGGCTCTCCATGCCTGGCTCGGGTCTCTCCTGGGGGGCAGTGAGGGAGGCCCTCGCCCTCCTCTGCTTCTCCGAGTGCCTTCTGCTGAGAGTGGCTAAGGGCTGCAGCTTCCATCCCACCCCCAGGCCCGCTCAGCCTCGGTTTGCTATTCCCTCCCTTTGGAGTCCTGGGGCTTGTCCTACGCACAAAAGACCTCAGCCACTCCAGCCCCAGAGGGGAGGGAACAACGCTCCCTCTTGCCTTTGGTACCAGACAAGACTGAAGACAATCACTGATCCTGCAATGGGAAACCTGAGGCCCGGGAAGGGGCTGAGGGCAACAGTGCACAAGCCGGAGTGCGGTGCAGCGGGGCGCGACCCTGTGTAGCACTGCCCTCGCGCTCTCAGTGTCACGGGCCCGGGACTTTGCGCCTCCTCCCCCCAGCTGGTCCCGCACGGGGTCCTCGCAACGGAGGAGCCACCGGCTGCATAGACGGCGGTGGTGCACGCTGGCGCTCCGCCCCTCCCCAGTCACCAGATCCAGTTCCTGCCACCTGTCCTCTGTCCCGCCGTCCTGCAGTCCACCCACTCTTCCTTTCTGCCCCGCATCCGCTACTCTGCCCGCAGGTCGCATGTAGTCTGCAGGTTCTCTTCTGCAAGTCCCCCTTCTGCAAGGTCCCCTTTGCAGGTCCCCGCCTGCCCGCCCGCGCAGGCCCGCGCCAGGCTCACCGCGCCGCGCTCGAAGTCATTGTAGAAGGCCTTGTCCAGCAGGTGCTTCTCGCTGCAGCCCGCAGAGCCGATGAGGCTCAGGTAGATGTAGTCGTCGGTGCCGGCGAACCACTGGCTGCCGGTGGCCACGGTCACCGTGTAGGACGGCATGGTGGGGCGCCGGCTGGGGGAGCTCAGCGCCCAGGTCCGAGTGCGTCCTCAGATCCCGCGGGCTGGGGCCGGGCCGCCTGTCAGTCCAGCTGGCCACTGACAGATGCCCTGCCTCCAGAGCCCCTCCCCTGCCCCTGCCCCGCCCACCCGGCCTCTCTAGGCCCCGCCCCCACCTCGCCCCCTGGTACTAGCACCACCTCGTCTAGACCCAGGTCCCGCACAAACTCCGGCTCAAGCCCCGCCCACACAAAACCAAGCCCACAAACCCAGACTCCGCCCACCCGGGGGGTCTTGGCCACGCCCCCGTCTCCACGCCGACTCCCCCCAGGTCTCAGCCCTGAGGATCCGCCCTGGCTTCCCGCAGTTCGTCTGTTCTTCCCTTCTGCCCTGCATCTGCCTTGCCTCAGCCTCAGCCGCTCCGGCCAGTTCCGCTGGGGCCCATGGCGTACCAGCCGGGATCGCTGCCTCGCGGGGCCTTTGAGCAGGGCGAGTCCCCGGGGCTTAGGAGAGGGTGGGAGGGACTCGGGAGCTCCTGCAGGGGTCCCCATCCCACCCCACCTGGGCTGCCCAGTCTCCGCCACCAGCTTCGGGGCGGCGGGCAGGGCAGGGACGGGGAGGCTTGGTGTGGGAATTAGGGTTCCAGTCTGGTCGGGTTCCTCTGCGTGGGGGACCCACGCGGGCCACGGCTCCCCACCCTGGGACCGGGCGCCCGGGTGGGCAGCAGCGCTGGTGGCCCTGAGCTCCGGATTCTGGGCTAGTCACCTTGTCTGGGCGGGAGCCCTGAGATTCACTGCGCAGTGGCGCTTAAGTCTGGGGCGTGGGGGTCACCAGCTCCGGCCAACAGGGCACAGGCAGAGGCCAAGGCAAGGGACCCAATTCAGGGAGCCTCCCACCTTCACAGGGAGAGGCAGAGCTCAGCAGGACGCCAGTGCGGGCCCAGAGGGGCCACTGAGGTCCTGGAGCTGCAGGTGGGGAGGGCTGGGCCCGTGAAGGGGGGCAGCAGGGGCGCGGGGAAGAATCATGGGGTGCAGGGCTGCCTGCTGTCCAGTTCTGCCAGGGCTCCCTGCTTCAGGGAACTTGGACACTGGTGCTGTGTATCAATGGAGTTGCCCTTCAAGTCCACAAATTAAAAACAAATACCATACAGTAGTATTTTTAACAAAGGTTTGAGATATCAATTTGGAAAATGTAGAATATACAGGTTTGACACAAGCAAAAAACATAACATAGAAAAAGCAATATGTTTTGCAGACATTTTACACCATTAAGAGTATATTCTATTTGCAATTTCGTGTCATATTTCCATTTTCCTTAACATCACAACATAACGTTTTCACAACATATGTTATTTAACTTCACTTAATATATTTTAACTGCAGAATGTTTAAGTATATAGATACACTACCATTGCCTCAATTAGTCCAGTATTGGATATTTAGGTTGTTTTCACTAATAAATAATTCTGTACATAGTTTGTGCGTGAAACAATGAAAGTGTTTCTTAGGATAGGGACCTGAAATTGTTGCAGGGACATTCTGAGACTTTTGCTGCCTGTTATGAAACAGGGGCTAAACTTACCATACAGAACACAGACTGCTTGTTACATAAAAACGTTGCCACCATGTGATCATCTTCCAAATGTAGCTACATCCTGTCTCCTCTGACTCTGCTCTAGTTCAGCTTCTATATCACTGTTACAAAAACAGTTTCCTAGTTACTTACTTCTTCTACCTCTAAGCAGATCAAGCCAACTCAGTCCCTTCCTTGAAGTAGATAACACTTCCTTTTTCATAGTTTTAAGGAACTGTATAGTTAGTATGCCATACAGTTTGCAGATTTAAAGTGTCAGTTCAGTGAACAGTTCTAAGCGGGAAGCTTGCAGCTGTGAATACCGGAGAAGAGAGTATAGAGCGATCCTAAAAATCTCGTGATATATCTCAAGGTCCAAGAAAAACAAGAACAGTCCAAATCTGAAAGTAGTGAAATAAGAAATTGTAAAGCTCAGGGTGGAGTTTAATGAATTGAGGCACAAAGTAGTACAAAAGATCAGTGAATCTAAAACTTGGTTCTTTGAAAAGATAAACAGAAAAGATAGCCAAGCTAACAGAATTACACATAAAAAGATGAAATCACAACAAACACTACCAAAATCCAGAGGATTATAAGAACCTATTTTGAAAGCTTATATCCCAATAAATTATAGAACCTAGAATAAATGGAGAACTTTCCCCACCTTTATGAATTACCAAAATTCTACCACGAGGATATAAAAATTCTGACTAGACCAACGAGGTAATGAAATAGAAGCAGTAATAAAAATTCAACCAACAATGAAAAGTCCAGGGCCCATTGGATGCTCTACCAGAACTTCGGGGAAGATCTAGCACCAGGACTGTTCAAATTCTTCCATAAACTTGAAAGAGAGAAGCACTGTTGAATTCATTTCTGGAAGGTAGCATTTCCCTCATTCCAAAACTGAAAAAGGGTCTAACAGAAAAAAGAAAACTACAGACCAATCTTCTTAAAGAATCTTGTTTTGAAAATCCTTGACAAGATACTTGCAAGCAGAATGCAACAAATCATTAAAAAGATCCTACATCATGACTAAGCCAACATTATCTCAGAGATGGGAAGATAGTTTAGCACACATAAACCAGCAAATTTAATTCATCACATAAGCAGGAACAGGGACAAAACCCATGATCATCTAAGTAGGGATAGGGAAAACTTCTGACAAAATCCCACAGACACTTGCAGTAAAAACTCTGATGGAAACAGGCACAGAAGGACCTTATCTCAATCTGTTAAAAGTCATTTATGACAAAACCACTGTCCGTATTGAGTTCAATGGGGGAAAACATGAAATTACTTCCTCTAAAATCAGTAACTAGATAGCATTTTGCATTCTTACCATTCCAGTTCAGTATAGTGTTCAAAACTTCAGCCAGAGATGTCAAGCAAGAAAAACAAATAAATATGTGCAGGAAAAGAAATCAGAGTATCTTTATCACACACAACGTGATGCTTGACATGGAACAAGCTCCAGAGAAGACTCAGCCTAAGGGTCAGCAAAGTATCAAGTTAGTTACACATCAGCACACACAAATCAACACTATTTCTCTACACCAGCAATGAGCCATTGGAAACGATACTGGGGGAAAAATCCCATTCACAAAAGTTTTTTAAAAAATTAAATACCTAGGAATCACCCTAACCAAGAAAGTAGAAGGCTCCTATGATGAAAACCAGAGTGCTCTGAAAACAGAGATTGAAGAGGATGTTAGAAAATGGAAACATACTTCTTGCTTCTCATGTTTTTGTTTTTCCTTTACTATTTTTCTTTGCATTGGGTGGATAATTTTTAACATTTAAATTCTTTAGGCCAGGTTGCTTTTGCTTGATATTTTCTTAGCTGCTGCACTAGGTGTATCAGAATTTACATGAGGTTTATTATAACTTAATACTGCTGAGGTACAAAATAATATCCAATACAAGTCTATTCCTTTTCTCTCTCTTTTTTGGTCCTATTACTGTTACACATATACAAAATCTGACAATAGATTGTCAAAATTATTACCTATTCATTTAAATATCTTTTAACTTAAAAAGATTGAGAGAAAAATATACCTATAGAATTTGTTATTTTAAGTTTCTCGCATATCGTCTCTTGTTGTCTTGATTTCTTCTGCAGATGTGAGTTCCCTTTCTGTACAACTTCACTCCCATTTACTCCTTTTGGCTCTTATGTAAAACATGCTACAATCTGTATACTAAAGCTCCAGCAATATAATTGGCTACTACTTGTTGTATGAAAATACTTATTAAGTTAGTTACGTGGACCAAAAAATGCAAGTATGTTCTTTTGGAATCACCCACAGAATTACCTGTGCAGCACTCACTGTTTGTTGAGGTACATTCACATTATTGATGTCACTGGCTTTCAGCCTGAAGAAGTCGAGTAGCATTTCTTTTAGGATGCGTTTGTCACTAAGAAATTATCTCAATTCATGTTACCTGTCCATAGATTTCATCTTTCAAAGGTAGTTTTCCCTGATATAAAGGTCCTTTCTTATGACAAAATACGTAACATTGTTATGTACACTTACGTAACATTAATTCACTATTTTTTTCTCTTTTCACACCATGTTGCTAGCACTTTGCACAGGAAGCAATCATGGGGACAGCAGCAGGGCAGAGGTGAAGGACACTGAAGGCTGGTGAGGAGCCATCGCCTCCCCTGTCCCAGGGGTGGGCACATTGTTCTGAGCACGTGAGCCTCGGTGGCACTGCCCCAGCCTCTGTGCACAGGGACACAGTGCAGGAACCATGAGCCCCATGGGGCTTTCTCTGTCTCTGCACATTTGGAGTGAAGTCAGCTGGCCTTTGTAAAACACCCCTTACAGCCAAGTCCCCAGCGAAGAGGACCTTGCCTTAATTGAAGAGGACCTTGCCTTATTCGAAGAGCACCTTCCCTTAATTGCCCCTTCAGGGTCCACTTAGAATAATGGCTCTTTCTCTCCCAGGTGTCTCCCACAGGTTAGGACACATTTTACTAAATGAGTAAAAAATACTTGGCCAGATCAGCTTGCTAAATAGGGGAAAGACAGCTTCATCCATCGAGAGTGGTCTTGGTGCAGACCACATAATACCTCTCTGCCACTGAGTTCCCAGTCTCACACATAATAGACAGAGAGGAAGGCCACGGGTAGCACCCGTGGGTCCCGCAGAGATGCAGTGACTTCCTCAAGGTGACGATGTGTGATCTGGGGTGGCCTTCTTCTATCAGAGAGCAGGAAGAGCTCAAATTTGCTGGATTGCTTCAGAGAGCCTAGAGAAATAATATTTGATTCTTTCTCCCTTCTGTTACTACTGTTTCATAGGTAGGTAAAACTATAGAGGAGATAAAACTGTAGAGGAGATGGGGTGCCAAACTGTATTGCCTTCTAAACCTGAAAAACAATGCTATCAGCTTCTGACTCCTGCTTCTTTTCTTTAATAACATTTGATGGAGTTGGGTTTAGGGAAGCAAATGACAAACTACACAGCGAAGAATTCTGTGTGGAGCCTTGAACCCAGGAACCCCATGTGAGCTTTGTCACTAAAAG